CCCGGCCCGGGAGCCGCGGCCCATTGGGCGGCGGGCGAGAGATCGAGGCTCTCATTGGCCCGCTGCCCCGTCCGTCTCCTCGCCTCCGCAGGCCCCCGGGGGTTTGGAGCGGTCTGAGGATGGGGCGTCTGGGCTCCCGGCTGCAGGATCTCGGGAGGGGGCCGGCGTGCGGAGGCTCGGGGGCCGGGAGGAGGGGTCGGGCGGGATGACTCATCCCTCGCCGGCTTCCTTCCGACCTCCGGCGCCGTCTCCCCGGAGCGGGGGGCGTGAGAAACCCCTCCTCGCTGCCGGGGGCTGGCGGAGGGGGCGGGCGGGGGCTTCTCGCCCACGTTTGCCTCGGGCCTCTGGCTCCGAGCTGCGCGCCCACCTGCCCTGGGCGAGGGCCGCGCCGCGCAGAGGACGCCCCCTCTCCTTCCGCTGGCCCTCCGCGGGCGCCTCGCCCGGCCCGGGTCTCTGCGCGGCATCGGGGCTCTTCTTCCCCAGTCGGGCCCTGGCGCGCCCCCATCCCGGGAGACTCTTCCCTTCCTCCACCCTCAGCCCCTGGCTTCCTACAAGAGGCTTTATAGCGTCGATGTCCTGCTGCGGCCGTGAGGTTTAACTGGGTAGATCGTGTGAAGGCTCAACATTAATCAAAATCTACGCCCCCTCGGTTTCGCTCCTTGTATGAAGCCGGGTCCAGAGGCCTCTATGCTTAGGGTGTGGCCATGACTCTACCCCTCTCCCTCCTCCCGGCCGTCCACAGTTGTGCTCTCACCCAGCTTTGGGTGGGTTGAGGCAGGAATCGTTTGTTTCTGAGGGCTCATAGTTTGGTAACTGACTCAGTAAATGAATCATTGTGTGACTGCAGGGTCTTGTCCGATATGCGGTTGGCAAATATTTTTTTTCCCAGTCTGTGGGCTGTCTCCCCGCTCTCTTGATGGTTTCTTTGGCTTTGCAGAAGCTTGTCAGTTTGATGAGATCCCACTTGTCTATCTTATCTCCTGTGGCAAGGGCGTTTGGGGTTTTGATCAGCAATTGGTTGTCAGTTCCAATTTCCATAAAAGGTGTCTCCTGCATTTTCTAGGGTTCTTATAGTTTAAGGTTTTACATTTAGGTCTTTGATCCATTTAGAGTTGATTTTGTGTATGGTGATAAGTAGGGGGCCTTGTTTTAATCTTCTGCATGTGGTCATCCAGTTTCCCTAGCACCATTTACTGAAGAGGTTCTCGTCTCCCCAGTGGTTGATGGAGGCTTTGTCGAAGATGAGTTAGTTGAAAAATTGAGGTTTTGCTTCCAGAATCTTTATCCCGTTCCATTTGTCTGTAAGCCTGTTCTTGCAGGCTGCTTCGATTGTTGTGACTTTAGAATAAAGTTTAAGATCTGGGCGTGTAATACTTCCAGTTGTGTGATTTTTTATTTTTTCCCTGAAGATTGTTTTGTCTATTCCTGGTCATTTGTTTCCATATGAATTCCTGTATTGTTGTTTCCAGGTCTGAGAAGAATGTTGCTGATAATTTAATGGGTATGGCATTAAACCTGTAGATTGCCTTGAGTAGGATGGATATCTTAACAATGTTGATTCTTTCAGTTCATGAGCATGGAGTATTTTTCCATTTGTTTGTGTCATCTTTGATTTCTTTGAGCAGTGTTTTGTAGTTTTCATTGTAAAGGTCTTTCACTTCTCTGGTTAGGAAGATGCCAAGGTATTTCTCTCTTTTGTGTGTGTGTGTGTGGCTATTGTGAATGAGAGTGTGCTTTTTATTTGGGTTTCTGTTTTTTTATTGATGATGTATAGAAATGCGACTGTCTTTTGCACATTTATTTTATACCGAGACTTTGCCAAAGTCCTTTATTAGTGCAAGGAGGTTTTTGACCGATTCTCTTGGGTTTTTGAGGTATAGAATCATGTCGTCTGCAAAGAGGGATAACTTAAATTCCTCTTTTCCTATTTGGATACCCCTGGTTTCCTTCTCTTGTCTGACTGCTCTAGCTAGGACCTCCAATACTATGTTGAACAGGAGGGGTGAAAGTGGGCAGCCTTGTCTTGTTCTGGTTTCAAGGGAAATGTTTCCAATTTCTGTCTGTCTAGCAGTATGTTGGCTGTGGGTTTCTCATAGATGGCTCTTACTATTTTGAGGTATGTTCCATCTATGCCTAGATGCTCAAAGGTTTTTATCAAGAAGGGGTGCTGGATTTTATCAAAAGTTTTTTTCCAAGTCTGATGATATAATCATATGGTCTGTTGATGTATTTAATTATGTTTACGGCCTTGCAGATGTTGAACCAGCCCTGCATCCCAGGGATGAAGTATACATGGTTGTGGTGGATGATTTGGAGATGTGTTGTTGGATCTGGTTTGCTAGATCTTGTTGAGAATTTTAGCCTCTATGTTCATCAAGGATATTGGCCTGTAGTTCTCTTTCTTTGTTTTATCTTTACCTGGTTTGGGTATCAATGTGATGTTAGCTTCATAAGATGATTTGGGGAGAGTTCCATTTTTCTCAATTGCTTGGAGTACTTTCAATAGGATTGGTATCAGCTCTTCCTTGTATGTTTGTAGAATTCTGCTGGGAAGCCATCTAGTCCAGGGTTGTTTTTTGTAGATAGTTTTCTTTTGACGTAGTTGATTTCCTGGGTTATTATTCATCTATTTAGGGTCTCAATTTATTCTTGTTTCAAATATGAGAGCTTGTGTGATGTCAGAAAGTCCTTCATTTCATTTAGGTTTTCTAGTTTGTTTCCATACAAGTGTACATAGTAATCTCTGATAATCTTTTGTATTTCTTCAGGACCAGTTGTGACTTGATCTTTTGCATTTCTGATTGTGTTTATATGGACTTTTTCTCTCTTTTTCTTGGTCAGTGTAGCTAGGGGTCCATCAGTCTTGCTTATCCTTTTAAAGAAACAGCTTTTTGTTTCATTGATTTTTTTGTGTTATATTTTTGTCTTCTATGTCCTGATGTGGGCTTTCACTTTGGTGAACTGGATTCTTCTACTGAAGTTAGGGTTTTGGTGGTCTTGCTTTTCCAGCTTCCTTAGATGTTTTGTTAGGCTATTAACTTGTGATCTTTACATTTACTTCATGTGCATTTGTGGAGATATGAATTTGCACTTAGTTAAGTTTTTATGGCATCCCAGAAATTTTGGTAAGATGTTTCTTTGTTTTCATTTGTTTCCAGGAATATTTTAATTTCTGTTTTGATACCCATGTGAACCCAGGAATTGTTCAGTATTATGCTGTTTAGTGTTCATGTCTTTGTGAGTTTTGGGGGAACTTTGTTGGTGTTGATATTTATTTTTATTCCACTGTGGTCTGAGAAGGTGCATGGCTGTATTCAAACGTATGAAATTTGTTTATGCTTGATTTATGGGCCAGGATGTGATTGATCTTAGAGTACATTCCATGTGGTGATAAGTAGACTATATATTCAGTGGTTGTTGGGTGGAGTGTTCTGTAGGTTTCAATTAAGCCCATTTGGTCAAGTATTACGTTGAAGTTCCTGATCTCCTTATTGATTTTTTGTCTTGATGATCTGCCTAGGGTAATGAGTGGGTACTACTGCCTAGGGTAGTAAGTCGTCAGCTATGATAGTGTTAGAGTCAGTATCTTTTTTTAGTTTACCTGAAAGCTGCTTTATGAAAGTTAGTACTCCTATGTTGGTTGCATATATGTTTAGGATGGATACTTCTTGTTGATAGATTGAACCTTTTATCATCATGTAGTGACCTTCTGTATCTTTTTAAATTTTTGATAGCTTAAAGGATATTTTGTCTGATATTAAGATCACAACTCCTGTTTTCTTTTGTGTTACATTTGCCTGAAAATTTGTTTTTCATCCTCTTACTTTTGAGTGTGTATCCTTTCTGGTGAGATGAGTCTCTTGGAGACAATACATTGTTGCCTCATGATGTTTTATTCAATTTGCCATTCTGTGTCTTTTCTGTGGTGCATTTAGTCCATTCACATTCAGGCTAATTATTGAGATGTGAGAGTTTGTCTCTGTCATGAGTTTCTTATAGAGTTTGTTGTTGCTTCTGCTGTTTGTTTGTTGTTTTTCTTTTGATTCTTGAGTTGATTTATGTGTGTTTCAATCATCTTCCTGCATTCTTAGGAAGGGCACTGTCATTCTTTTTTTTCTTTCTTCTGTGTTTAATACTTTCTTAAGTGTTTCTTGTAGAGCTGGTCTGGAGGCAGCGTAAATGCTTAGGGATTGAATGTCTGGGAAAGATTTTAATTCTCCATTGCTGATGAAATTTAGTTTAGCTGGGTAGGTAATTCTTGGTTGAAATTGTTTATCTCTGGGAACTTTGAAGATTGGGCTCCAAGCTCTCCTAGCTTGAAGTGTTTCTGTAGATAAGTTTGCTGTTATTCTAGTTGGTCTTCCCTGGTAGGTAGTCTGAACTTTCTTTCTTGCTGCTGTTAGGATTTTTTTATTTTATACCTACTTTGTGTAAGCAAATTACTATGTATCTAGGAGTTGGTCTTCTCATTTCTTGTCTAGCAGGGGTCCTTTGAATCTCTTATCTTTGAATGGTCATGTCTCTGATGAGATGAGGGAAGTTTTCTTGGATAATTTCATGGAATGTTTGTTCCAGGGTGGTCTCTGTCTCTCTGCCT